AAGTTCTTCAAATACCTATAGAATGATAGGTTTCTTTTTTGTGAGTGTAAAACACTTAAATACACCAGTTCGAAAGACTTGTGTTACAAACAACAAAACTTGTTTTTAGTGTAACACAATCATTACGAGTTATAAAGGTAAAACATATGAGTTGAATTTCTATGCAATCAACATACATACCATAAAAATGTGTCTTAAAAACACAACACATTATTTAAATAAACACACGTTTGAGTTGAAAATTACACGTGAGCTGTATTGTTAGAAAACATTGTGTTTATGTCGTTACAGAAATAAATTTTTGGATTAGTGATATGATAACATAGACAACATATTAGGTAGTAACGTATGTGTTTGAATAATATTTTTATTTACTTAATAATCATGAAATAAAAAAAGTAAAGATTCATATGGTTGTTTGTTTCAGAATTTTGCCTCAAGCTGCACAAAGGGCTATATCTACATAGCTGTACGAAGGCAGCTTACAACGTACCCACTGCCCTAAAGTGCAGAACACGTTTTTACGGCAATGGACTGGCGTATATGAACCCAGTCTGATCACACTAAGCCACGCCCAGCCTAGATCCATATAGTTTGTTTGTTTGTAATTAAGCACAAAGCTACACAATGGGCTATCTGTGCTCTGCCCACCACGGGTATCGAAACCCGATTCTAGCGTTGTAAGTCCGCAGACATACCGCTGTGCCACTGGGGGGCAGATCCATATAGATCACACACACACACATTGGACGTCACATACTTAACTAATTACTTATGTAAAAAAACAACAAGAAAAACACTGCAAGTAACGTTCGTAGCATAATATTTAAAAAAATTATTCGTTGATTTGAAACACCGTAGTTTGCAAATAATTAATTTTGATTGTTCCCCTGTAGATGGCCGGCCGCCTCCTGACCGGACGATTATCAAACATACCCTACGAACAGTGTCCTCGAGCTTATTCATCAGCATGTGTGTTATTTCGTTCATCGGAATTATCTGGGCCATTGGGCTGCTATTTTTTAACTGGGCTTTCCACATGTCAAGGTGAAGATGGTTATATTTGTATATGGGAAATAAAAGAAATGATAGAATGCTTGGGTACATTATCAGCGTTATATGTTTCTTTACGTTTTACTGAAATAAAAAGAATGAAATTAAGAAAAATTGATCTTAAACTTCAACTAATGTTAATTTCCCACCATTTGAATGTATAACTTCTTCAGGTTATTTTTTTTCTCTCTCTCTAAAGAAAATCGACCACAACTGATCACTTAGGGATAATTTGCTTTGAATAAATACGAAAATTGTTTTTGTTGCGCGTTCGCATTTTGTGACTACCATAATAGACAATAATAAGGTAGTATATACCATAGTTAAAATATATTATAGGTTTATGGTTTTCATAGCTTATTTCCTTGGTGTTTAGTCATGAGTTTTGTTCACTATTTATAACTGATTTTATACCGATTTAGTACTAGACCACGTGTGAGATTCATCATTCTTTTTTAGATTAACATGTTATAGTTAATAGTTATGTAGTTGAATTTTGTCTTTTTTTACAGATATATTCAGCTGTCGCACCCAATGTGTAACAACATTATGTTAGTCGGAATTATCATCTGTTTGTTATGTGTTTGTCTTCTGGGTCTGGATGGAAAGTTTATCAGTCCTGGTGGTTACGGGCATTTGTGTGAGGTAAATCAACTGGTCAGAACTATTTTACAACTATATTCAGTAGATGAAGATATACATATCATGTCTATACTTGAGTTAATATTGGATTTCAGTAAATTAATGGACTGATGGTTAGGGCACCCGACTCGCAATCTGCGGGTAGCGGATTCGAATCCCGTCACCGGGTTCACCCTTTCAACCGTGGGGGCTATATAATGTGACGATCAATCCCATTTTTCATTAATGAAGAGTAGTCCGAAACTTGGCGGTGAATCGTGCTGACCAGCTGCCTTCCTTCTAGTCTATAACTTCTAAATTATGTCCAGGTGGTTAGGGCGCTCGACTCGCAATCTGCGGGTCACAAGTTCGAATCCCCGTCACACCAAACATGCTCGCTCTTTCAGCCGTGGGGGCGTTATAATGTGACGGTCATTATTAAACATTCGCAGGTCGACAGTTGGTAACGTGCTGAAGAAATGGAAGTGACAGGTGAGCCCAAGAAACCAAGTAGGCTTAAAATACTGACTGACAGAAGTCGACGCACCTTGAGAAGGCTGGTTACCTCATCTCGCCATCAGACCCTAGAGAATCTATGTTTGGAGATGCGAGCAGCCACAGGAAATCCTATGTGTGTTTCCACGACACGTCGAGAGCTACATGCAATGCATTTTCATGGAAGAGCTGCAGCCCACAAGCCGTTGATAATAAAAACAAATGGGGCAAGGCACACCAAACCTGGACCATGGACCAATGGAAATCGGTTCTATAGAGCGACGAGTCACGCTACACGCTCTTCCAGCCTGATGGATGTGTTTGGGTATGGATAATGCCTGGAGAACGCTTATTACCTGAGTGTGTTGTCCCAACAGCGAAGTTTGGAGGTGGTGGTATCATGATCTGGGGGTGCTTCTCGTGGTATGGACTAGTGTTAGCGTATGGATCCATGAATGCTGAGCCCTACATTGATGTTTCGAAGAATTCTGTGTGTCCTACGCTGTGGCTAGTTTATGGTACCGGCCCTTACATCTTAATAATAACGCTCCTGTCACAAAGAGAGGATTGTGAACGCGTGGTTTGAAGAAAATAACATTGGAACATTGCAGTAACCAACACAGAGTCCTGACCTTTACTCGATAGAACATCTTTGGGATGAACTGGAACGCAGAATTAGAGCAAGACCAAGATAGCCCTCTTCAGTAGGGAAGCTTACTAGTTGCTTTAAGGGAGGAGTGGAGCACAATACCACCAGCTTTTAACCAGAAATTAGTAGACAGTCTTCCATGGCGCATTGAAGCAGTCATTAAAGCCAAAGGCGGGCCAATACGTTATTAATTTCTTGGAATAAAGATATGTTTTATTCATAACTGCCCGTATTCCATGACTTTTGGTAGGATAGTGTAAGTATAGCTTGGTATTAGTAGCATTCAAAATGTTAAAAACTGGTGAACTTCATGTTAGTGAGATCTAAAATGTTAAAATTATGAAATTCATGTTAATAAGATCTAAAATGTTAAAAGTTTGTTTTGTAGTTAAACACAAAGCTACTCAATAGGCTATCTGCTCTGCCCACCATGGGTATCGAAACCCAGTTTCTAGCTTTGTAAGTCCGCAAACATATTGCTGTGCCACTGGGAGGCTAAAAATGTTAACGCTAGTGAATTTCATGTCAGTAAGATTCAAAATGTTAGAACTTGTGAAATTCATGTTAGTAAGGTCTGAAATGTTAAAACTATTGAGCTTCATGTCAGAAAGGTTCAAAATGTTAAACTAGCGAACTTCATCTTAATAAGATTCAAAATGTTAGAACTTGTGAAATTCATGTTACTATGACCTAAGATGTTAAAAACTGGTGAACTTCGTGTTAGTAAGATTAAAAATGTTAAAACTAGTGAACTTTATGCTAGTAAGATAAAATGTGAGTCAACGGTAAGTTTACGGACTTATAACGCAAAATTTGGGATTTGATTCCCCGCGGCAAACAGAGTGCAAATGACCCATTGTATAGCTTCTTACGAAAGATAAG